TCCTGGGATTCGCACGTAACATATATTGAAAAGCGAGATTGATCCGCTATAGGCTGCATTTCTTCTCACATTTCCCATCTGCGCCATGGTTGTTGCATGCAAATTTATCACTCCTATATTCTTCCTTTGTTTGATTACTGCTCTCTCGTTTGGTCCTCTGGTCTATCCTCTGCTCTTACGGATCGGTTAGAAGTCACGCACCGTAAGTTGCTTCGATTAATATTTCCTATGCCCCCTCTAACCTCCTCTCAGACGCTATACATTTTGGCTTCCTCTTCCCCTCTTTCAGAACGCTTTCCCCACTCGGCATGTAAATTCATTCACCGTATTAAGCTTAAACTTGCTCCTCCGCATGCACTTGCGCATTTAAGCTGGTTCAATAATAGCTCGCCTAATAGATGCTGTCTCCAGTTCCCACTTGCCAGTTCATCGATCCTTTTAAAATCCCCTCTATTCAAATCTTATTCTCATTGGTCTTGGCTTTCGCAGGAGGTAAAATCCCGTGACACCTATGCTGCATTTTGTTCCATTCTGCACGCGCTTACCTAAGTTGGATTGATGACGGTAGTTAGTACTCCTTTTGTTTTGGTTTCATTGTTCTTTTTCCTCCTTCTTTTTCTCAGTTTCCCCACCATGGCTGGTTAAAATTGCTCGCATCACATGTTTATTGGCACTATGTTATCGTGATTGTGGAATAATAATGATATTAATAAAGAAGTTGAAGACACCACTGCAGCTGTACTTATGGTTGATAAATATGGTGGTAAAGACACACCTGGCAATATGGCGGTAAACACACGCCTGCCCACACACGCTCTCTAGGCTGCAAAGTTCTGGCACAGAGCTCTCCTTCTCACCAACACCACCATCAGTTCGCGCCTGGCGCCTGGTCGATGCATGGCTGGCAGTATCCGGCATAGCAGGCTGGTACATCAAGTAGCGCATGGCACATAGATGATGACGCAGCAACGACATAGCTCGATTGCGACGTTCGTTTCGTCCCCGCTGGACTCATCAGGCAATCTTCTTCTTGGATGTCTTCATACGGAGCTTGACTCGGGAGAATGAAGTTGAAGACACAGCAGTCAAACGACTTGTGATGCTGGTGGAGATGATGGAGCCATGTTGGAGGCTGATAAGGAGTGCAGTGAGACTGAGCATCAAACGGATGATGAGGAAGTGACTGATGATGATGATGGTGGTGATGAGGACGATGATGATGAAGATGAGACGGAGGACGAGGATAAGGCGGGGGAGGTTGAAGGAAAGGAGCGGGATGAGACGGAAGAGAGCAACGTGAGCAAAAAGTCAGCTGTATTTTGTCACTTGTTATCACGTCCAGATTGTGTTAGTGTGTACGATGATTCTCACTTTTCTGTTTTGTGCCGTGCAAGTTATGTTAAGCAGTTGAAGGTTCTGGAAGCTGTATGTATTCGTGTGCATAATCCTGTTCTTTGTAAACAAAAGAAGCATGTAGTCGCGCTAAAGTTGTTCTCGTAGCTGGTTATCAGATGTAAATGTTGTGTCATGTTGCACTGTATCACCTCATGCTTTGTGCCTGCACTCAGTTATATATGTTATCACTATGTTTGACACCTATTATGTAATGCTGTAGCACTTCCCTTTTTTGTTCACACTTTTAATTATGCTGTTATAAAATGTTCTATTTTTTGTACACAGTACCCTCAGTTCCGATACTATTCACTGATGAGCGGAACACGAAAATCGATTTTGAATAACATAAAAATCCTTAAAAATTTCATGAACTCGTTGTCTGGCCATGTCTGCATCTATTATACTCCTAATTGCACTAATAAAATTGCTTTCTCCACGCCGACTCTTTAAATAATAATAATAATAATAATATTAACTGGTTTTGAGGGAAAGAGACAATAATAATACAAGTAATAATAATAATGCGATACTGCACAGCAAGAAAGAGGTCAACGGCGAGACTGTGTGGAATACTGAGATCGGATGTGTGTTATCTGGTTCAGCGCCCGCCCCGGGTTGAAGCAGTGGATTAGTGACTGTGTCGTGTGTCAAAGCCGGGAAGCCCACATCGACAAGCTTCGTGAGTTGGCTGAAGTGGTGATCACTGATATTCCACCATGGCCACCCCCGCAGCAGAAGATGACGAATTCTGGACGGTAGTCAGAGCCCCGAATCGCCTTGACTTGTGAGTTTTTGTACGACGGTGAGAAGCCATTTGGCGGGGAGAATGTTACGAAACCACAAGTTCTCAAGTGTGAAAGGCCTTCGCGCTTGTGACATTGTGTTCGGTTCAATGCAGTTGTATCTCGACTCCACGGTACCGCTGATGTTTACAGCGTGGTATACGCTACGTGCGCTATGTGTGATTTGCTGTGTGCGCTGTAGTTGGATGTTGGATGTGTATGCTTTTCTGATATACGCTGTCATTTTCACGTTATAACTAGCTGGTGATCTTAGAGTTACTTTGAAGTAGTTATTATTATTATTCAATCGGAGTAAAATATACCGTTAGGATTCAATAGTTGTCCTCGTGCCATGTGGTCGTTCTATCCTGACAATTTAAAGAATCACAAGGGTTCACAACACCTTGGGACCGGGCACTGCCCGTATCTCAGATTTGCCCGTATCTCACGTAAACTCATCTACCATGTATCATGTCGTTTTTTGAAGAAAAAGAGAGACGTGCCCGCATCTGAGGCGTCCGGATAAGAGACGTTTGAACCACGGGAACTATTTATTTTTGCTCAGATTTGCTAAATATGAGCCCGGATCAGCGAAAACCATCACTTGTGTTTGATATCAAGTTGATCAAAAAGTGACGTTGAAGTCGAGCGAAAGAAAAGTCGCGGACCTAACAACTACCCATCACCTTTCTGTCTTTCTTGTCACTTGTCTTTCTTTCCGCCTGACAAGCCCGTGTTTGTTTGTTTGTCAGTGACTAGCTAGCTAGGCGAGCCCCAGGCAAGTGAGGAGACACGGCTGGGAAACCCCACGTACCTGAGCTTAGCTGGCGAATAGGTACGATCGCGGGGCGCGAGCATCGCACACGCATCGATCGTCGTTGACGCCGATCACGACACGACATTTTTTGGTGATGACTGGAATGACGATTGCTTATCAAGGGAGTCAGGTGAAAGCCGCGGAGCTCCAGAGAACCACTCTCTCCTGCCACAAAGCGACTTGGCGAGGCTGCAGACTTCGTGTAGAAGAAAGCAGCGCTGATGAGAATGACGACGACTCGAGTGGATATTGTTGAGCGATGAACGACTCCTTCACTAGTAAGTTTGTCGGATATCAACAGTGACGATGCAGAGAAAAGGCGCCTCGATTCACGACTGGAAGAACAACGAGAGCTAGCGCCAGACAAGATCTGCTTTGTTGACTTGGACGCTGAGCAGCTTGAAACATTTATTTGGTGCATGCAGCAGCTCCCAAAAAATTCAAAAAATATGTTCCTGTAGGGTCAGGTAACCGTTGAATGTATCTGCACCTAGTACGTACCTCATGCTCATGAGCCTGTGCGCTGATCAGCCACAGCTACTGTGATTGCACTCCGTGTGTGCAGATATGTTTTCATGGAAGTGAAGGGCTTGGAGAGCATCAGTACAGAGCCTGGTGTGGATGCAATATCAGCCCCTGGAACTTAGTCATATGCCATCAGCTGCGCAATAGTCAGTGAAGCCAATGATTTACTTGGACAAGCCAGTGTCTGAGTACACCCCAAGGACTATAAAATTCATCCTTGTTAGCCGGCTGAGTGATGGCAATGCCTAACATGATCAGACACATACCAACGCTCATACTTGCATAAAATAAAAAAATAAATTCGACGGGGTTCGCGTACCGGGCAGGTCAAGAACAAGGAGTCGTACAACTCCCTGGTCAAGAACCACCTTTCCGCTTCCTTGCATCCTACACAGAAATGCCACTTCCAACATTTGCCATACAGCGATGTGGTGTACCGCATTTTTTGGTCACTTACAGTGCTGCGATCGATCTAAAATTTCCTGAGACTGGTTATCAGTGGTTGTGGATCAATTTGGAGCACAAAAATATTTTTTGAAAATTGTACACATGTGATGGTTTTTGCTGATCCAGGCTCATATGTTTATAGGCACTAAAGACGTTGTTGTGATCGAATAAGTCACGTCGTTCTGAGCTCCAATGCCCATTAGGTGTGGTTGTGGATCAATTTGGAGCACAAAAATATTTTTTGAAAATTTTACACATGTGATGGTTTTTGCTGATCCAGGCTCATATGTTTATAGGCACTAAAGACGTTGTTGTGATCGAATAAGTCACGTCGTTCTGAGCTCCAATGCACATTAGGTGTGGTTGTGGATCAATTTGGAGCACAAAAATATTTTTTGAAAATTTTACACATGTGATGGTTTTTGCTGATCCAGGCTCATATGTTTATAGGCACTAAAGACGTTGTTGTGATCGAATAAGTCACGTCGTTCTGAGCTCCAATGCCCATTAGGTGTGGTTGTGGATCAATTTGGGGCACAAAAATATTTTTTGAAAATTTTACACATGTGATGGTTTTTGCTGATCCAGGCTCATATGTTTATAGGCACTAAAGACGTTGTTGTGATCGAATAAGTCACGTCGTTCTGAGCTCCAATGCACATTAGGTGTGGTTGTGGATCAATTTGGAGCACAAAAATATTTTTTGAAAATTTTACACATGTGATGGTTTTTGCTGATCCAGGCTCATATGTTTATAGGCACTAAAGACGTTGTTGTGATCGAATAAGTCACGTCGTTCTGAGCTCCAATGCACATTAGGTGTGGTTGTGGATCAATTTGGAGCACAAAAATATTTTTTGAAAATTTTACACATGTGATGGTTTTTGCTGATCCAGGCTCATATGTTTATAGGCACTAAAGACGTTGTTGTGATCGAATAAGTCACTCGTTCTGAGCTCCAATGCACATTAGGTGCTTTTAAAAAAAACCCAAGCACCTGCACCAGTTCGAACATCTGGTGTAGTGCTACTTACCAGCGTTGCTTGTGGAAGGCTTGGGTTTTGCTGCTCGAAGTACTTTGAGCAACGAGGCGGATGTAAGTTTTGATCCACGCCTAGTACATCGTTATTGTCCTCAACCTAGCAAAAAAAGGTGATGCGGAAACATGAACGAAGGCATGGTGAACAAGTTGGTTTCAGAGTTTCAAACCCAAAAACAATCACATGGAGAGTTTTGGCACAAAGTGCTGCAACCGGCAATTTTGAGAGATTGAGATATTTTCAAAACTCAGTATTTTTGTATTTGTATTTATATCATTATCTCATGGCACATCATGATGACGGCCAATAAAACTGAGACAAGGGTGAAAGCCAACCACAGCAGTAAAACAGATAAAAGAATACAAATAAGAGGCAAAGAAGGCAGAGGAGGAGACAAACCAGCAGGATATACATGAAACCTATAATTGAGCAGAGATTTTAGCGACAAAATTATCCATCGACGTGCTGGTCTTGGCCTGCGTTGGTAATGTTGCCCAAAACACATAGCCAGCAAAGATCGGGGATCTAGTGAATAGGGTGGAGGCAGCGCGTGGGAGACTGAGTGAGTTCCGGGTATTCCGTGTTTTGGAGAACCAATTATAAGCCTGCATATGCAAGGGTATTTTACTTAGTAATATTTTATGTATGAGAACACAGAGGTGGTACTTATGTCGAGTGGAAAGGGGACTGATTTTGGCAATTTCGTAAAGACTAGCGGAGGGAAAGCGACGATCTTTGCTAAATAAGATTTTAAGGAGCATGCGGTTATGGGTTTCTAGCTTGTTCAATACAGTAGTAGTTATGCCAGACCAAGCAGTATCACAGTAGTCAAGTAAGGGCAATATATAGCAACGATAAAACAAGCGTTTGCAAGAAAGAGGAAGATGTCTACAGTGGGCTTGAAGAGCCCCAAGGATGGAGCTTGTGCGCTTGCAGACATACTGCACATGGGGTGACCACGACAATTTAGAGTCAATAATAACGCCAAGATGCTTATGCTCTTCAACAATACGAATAGCAACACTTGAAGAAGGAAAACAAAGTGGCAGGGAAGGGGGAGAAGGGGAAATGTACATAGCTGCCGTTTTATCAACGTTTGGCTGCAACTTCCAATCATGCATCCAGGTTATAACTTTCCCAATGCTATCTTGCATGGCTTCGTGCAGGCGTATAGGGCAAGCATTGGAGCAAAGCAGAGCTGTGTCGTCAGCGAAAAGGCTGACACCAGGGGCAATATCGGGGAGGTCATTAATATACAGGAGAAATAGCAGTGGCCCAAGGATTGAACCCTGGGGGACTCCAGAAGTAACGGGTAAAGGCTCCGATAACACAGTTGAGAGGCGTACAAGCTGATGTCGGTTAGAGAGATACGATGAGAGCCAGCCGATAGCCTTGCCATCAATGCGATATACTGTTCGCAGCTTAGCTAAGAGACCCCTGTGCCAAACAGTGTCGAAGGCCTTTGCGAGATTGAAGAAAACTAAACCAACATGGTTATGGGCGTTCCGGGCGGTGTGGATGTCTTGCACGAGGCGGGTAACCTGGTACCTGGTGGAGTCACCCCGACAAAAGCCCGACTGTGCTGGCGAAAGTGAAATGCGAACATGATCATAAATGATGTCATATACAACACGTTCGCAGTATAATAATCAACTTTGAAGTATTTAAATAACCGACGAGGAGACAACAGTCGTAAAATAGCGATGAAAAATATCAATTGTGCACTCATAACCATGTATAAACAATTTAAAAAATGAAACAATTCCAGAACGTTTTCGTGTGACTATCATCAGTGGAACATCGTCACATAATAAAAATCACTAAACAACCAGTTATAAATTTAAAATAATATATTTTTAATTATTTTAATTTTTATTATTGCCAGTGCAGGCTGTCGTAATAAAACGACTCATCTGTGGTCCATTCCCGTGCATGGTACATGCATGGTGCGACGGCACAATGACAGCTGTCGCAAATCACACTGAGTATTACACGTGTTTTTTGGGGATTCCTGGTTAGCTGCTAGCTTTTCCCTACTCGAAGATGTTGCCGCCGCGAAATCTGGGGGTTTGTGTTCGTCCTGGCGAAAACCGTGTTTTGATCCGTTGAGGGAGACGAGAGATACAGTGCGAAGACGTACGATCTGTCCGAGAATCGGCGAAGAAGAAAGCTTCGCAGACGACCCGTAGTGGTTGGGAACAGAATGGAACATATACCAGTCGATGTCTGTCATGGTAGGGATGACTGCTACGAAGTTTCAGCCCCATGCTCCCCAGCGCTTTTTAGCGCCCGGCGATAATTACCAAATTTCATCGATTTTCCATGTGGATCAAAGCATAGTCTCCTCAATCTTCTCCAGTCGAGCTGAGTCTGGACGCTACAATGTCGAGACGCGAAAAGAGAACATGCATGAACACACAGGAGCATCACATGCAGCTGCATTCTGCCTTGACGAAGAGAACAACACCAGCACCACGCATTTGGAAGACATTTCGAAGAAGACGAAGAACTGCATACCTGCGTTCAAAAAAAGCCTCTGTACTGTGCAGTATGCATGCGTGCATGCGCGAAGCACGGGGTCCGCGGTTACTTCGTTCAAAAATCATTGTGCCACACGGGTTGTATGATTTGTGTGCGATCATGGTCTTTCTTCTTGACAAACAAAACTGAAGTTTTTCGATCTTCAAGTCGCCATAGCGTTCTTGTCATGACTCCAAATCAGCTGAAACTTTGCAGGAGGAATGAAAATGCCATGCTGAATCGATTGGTACCATTTTCGAAGGGTTTCCTTGAAAAATAAAATTTACCCTGCACTGGCTTATATAGCTAGAATATGAAGAAAAAAAGCGTGAGAATGCAGCACAGCTAGCGGTTATGCATAACGCCTGTAGTGTGAACCTTTGCAGTGTATCTGAGAATGGTAGCAGTAGATGAATGTGGCAGCTGTGAGTGCGTGTGGACAAAACTGGTGAGTGCGTATTATTTATAAAGTGTGAGTGCTACAACATTTTCTTTTTGCTTGCATAGAACAGGGTCACGTGTGCGAATATAATACAGCTTCCAACACCTGCAACTGCTTAAAGAAACGTGCGCAACAAATAACACAAAACCAGGAATCGTCAAACAACTTACGACAATCCGGACTGGACACCAAATGCTTGTAGATGGCAGACTTGCTCTTGTCGATGTCGAACTCCTCCTCGTCAGTATCACTCTCATCCTCCACTTCCTGTTCCTGCTCACCCTTGCTTTCTTCCTGACCATCCTGTTCATCCCCATCACCATTCTCCATCTCCATCTCCTCGTGCCATCGCTTCTTTCTCCTTGACGCGTTCACTGCTGCGCCCGTACTTTCACCTACTTTCACCTTTCACCTACTTTCACCTGCTACTTTCACCTGCTACTTTCACCTACTTTCACCTACTTTCACCTACTTTAAGCAGTTGCAGGTGTTGGAAGCTGTATATATTCGCACACGTGACCCTGTTCTATGCAAGCAAAAAGAAAATGTTGCAGCACTCACACTTTTAAATAATACGCACTCACCAGTTTTGTCCACACGCACTCACAGCTGCCACATTCATCTACTGCTACCATTCTCAGATACACTGCAAAGGTTCACACTACACGCGTTATGCAAAACCGCTAGCTGTGCTGCATTCTCACGCTTTTTTCATATTCTAGCTATATAACTGGTTGTTTTAGTGATTCTTGTTATGTGACGATGTTCCAATGATGATAGTCACACGAAAACGTTCTGAAATTGTTTCATTTTAATTGTTTATACATGGTTATGAGTGCACAATTGATATTTTCATAACTTTGAAGTATTTAAACAATCGACGAGGAGACAATAGTCGTAAAATGGCAATAAATAAGATAAATTGTGCACTCATAACAACAGCAAAAATGAAGAAAGTCAAGTTCCATAACGTTTTCTTGTGACTGTCATCAGTGGAACGCCGTCACATAAAAATGATGATGACGACGAATACGAGTGCGATGGGATGGACGGCGGCATTGGAATGGAGGTGGAGGATGAGAGTAGTGATGAGGAGGAGTTTGATGTTGACAAGAGGAAGTCTGCAGTGTACAAGCATTTGGTGTCCAGTCCAGAATGTCGTAAGGTGTTTGACGATTCCTGGTTTAGTGTTATTCGTTGCGCACGTTTCTTCAAGCAACTGCAGGTGTTGGAAGCTGTGTATATTCGTACTCGTGACCCTGTGCTATGTAAACAGAAAGAAAACGTTGTATCACTCACACTCTTCAAATAATACACACGCACCATTACATTCATTCACACAGTATCACATTCATCTGCCACTACCTTTCTCACATACACTATATTCACACATTACAAAGGTGCAAACTTCGCTTTTTGTACTTGTTAGCTGCTGTATTTCTACCTGAAACCATATTAGCTACATGTATATAAGTGTGTGTTTTAGTTATTAAATTTTTATGTGACGGCGTTCCACTGATGACAGTCACAAGAAAACGTTATGGAACTTGACTTTCTTCATTTTTGCTGTTGTTATGAGTGCACAATTTATCTTATTTATTGCCATTTTAACTTTGAAGTAGTTATTATTATTCAATCAGAGTAAAATATACCGTTAGGATTCAATAGTTGTCCTCGTGCCATGTGGTCGTTCTATCCTGACAATTTAGAGAATCACAAGGGTTCACAACACCTTGGGACCGGGCACTGCCCGTATCTCAGATTTGCCCGTATCTCACGTAAACTCATCTACCATGTATCATGTCGTTTTTTGAAGAAATAGAGAGACGTGCCCACATCTGAGGCGTCCGGATAAGAGACGTTTGAACCACGGGAACTACTTATTTTTGCTCAGATTTGCTAAATATGTTTATAGGCACTAAAGACGTTGTTGTGATCGAATAAGTCACTCGTTCTGAGCTCCAATGCACGTTAGGTGCTTTAAAAAAAACCCAAGCACCTGCACCAGTTCGAACATCTGGTGTAGTGCTACTTACCTGCGTTACTCGTGGACGGCTTGATTGGTTTTTAAAGAAACAAGAAAGCGGATGTACGTTTTTTTCCACGCCTAGTATATTGTTATCGTCCTCAATCTAGCAAAAAAAAAGGAGATGCGGAAACATGAACGAAGGCATGGTGAACAAGTTGGTTTCAGAGTTTCAAACCCAAAAACAATCACATGGAGAATTTTGGCACAAAGTGCTGCAACCGGCAATTTTGAGAGATTGGGATGTTTTCAAGCATCAGTATAATAATCAAGAGGGGTGAGCAGCTGCATTGGGCCTAGTCCACATTATTATCGACCACCACACCACACCGTTGCGCTCTCCAGCCGACCTCCTCACATTGCCACAGCACACCATCAGCAAAACGACACTTCAGTCGGTACTCTACAGCAGCTGTTTTATCACCGCTCGTAGTGATTTCTGGGTCCTGTCACTTAGCGCAGGGATGAGAGCCAAGGATACAACAAGCAAGCCTCCACGAAAGAGAGAAAAACACGGAAAACACAGACTGCAAATACTCAAAAAGAAAAAGAGAAAGGGAAAAAAGAAAAAGAAAGAAGAAGAAAGCACAGTTGAGTCAAAGTTGAGTCACGACTCCAAGTCCAAGCCTAGATGCTGGCTAACCATAAAAATAAACCTTTAATGATTCCAACTTCTCTGTGCCGTGCAAATTTACTTTGGCAGTTGAAATTTCAACAAGTTGTCCGTATTCGTGTACATAATCCTGTTCTTTGACGTTGTAAAGTGTACATAATCCTGTTCTTTGACGTTGTAAAGTGTACATAATCCTGTTCTTTGACGTTGTAAAGTGTACAGAATGTTACTGCAAGCATACAATAGGAGCATGTTGTAGCTCTAAAGTTGTTCTCGTAGCTTGCAGTCAGGTGTGAACTTTGCGTCATTATGCACTGTATTTCCTGATGCATTGTGTCCACAATTAATAGTTATTATTGTTTTCTGCACTATGTCTAAGTGGAATGTTGTAATGCTTTAACACTTTCTGTGTTCGCACTTTCTGATATGCACATTATGCAGTGAACGAGAGAGCTTGGAAGCTCAGGGCCCTACGCTATGCTTTTATGCTTTTTTGCCTAGCTCATCGTACATGTTATAAGAACTGATGGAAATGTTTTTTTCTGTTGATTGGCCACATCTACCATCATCTATCATCTATCATTTACATCATTGTATTGCAAAAACGTTTCAATCAGTTTGAATATTATGAGTTAGGCAAAAGTATTTGCAGAATTTATTGCGGATTGTCATTTCTCTAATATCATCTACTTTTGGTTTGCCCCTTCTTTTCTTTTTATCTCCTTATACTGTAAATCAACAAATTTTGGCCGATGAGAAACTTTGGCCGATCTCGAAACGAAAGTTTTCGCCGTCATTAAACTTTGGCCGATTGGAGTTTTCAAAAAGAAATCGATCGGTATTTTTTGCTCTCACATGCATCCATTGCTCAATCATGCATCATTTGCCTCTACGACAAACTTTGGCCTGCGATTTACTTTGGCCAGTTGGTACCAAGCGGCGAAATCAGCGAAATTAAATCGCCAGCGAAAATTAGTTGATTTTAATATAGTAATCGGATTTTCTGGCCTTTTTGTAGTAACACATTGACCTGTTGAGCCAATGAGGACGCCGAATGCATGGTTACCTGTGGAGCACATAACATAACTTTACAGTCTCCTAAAATACGCATCCTGTCCAACGGCAAAAGAGGCTGCAGATTTAGTTTTTCTGCGCGTCGACGGGATGTCTGTCCTGACGTTTCCTGGGTCCGGCGCTGACTCTGTCGATCATGGGCGTTCTGGACTCGACAGGGTGTCTGTCCTGACGTTTCCTGGGACCGGCGCTGACTCTGCCGATCACGGGCGTTCTGGACTCAACTGGATGTCTGTCCTGACGTTTCCTGGGACCGGCGCGGACTTTGCCGATCACGGGCGTTCTGGAGTCGACGGGATCTCTCTTCCAACGTTTCCTGTGACCGGCGCTGAATCGCTCGTTCAAGCTTATTTTGGAGACGACGGGATCTCTCTTCCAAAGTATGTTTTTGCTGACGCATGCTAACACCTATTCGGCGTCTATTCTAATTTAATTTCCTCCTCGTCTCCCTATTTCTTTCCAAATCTCCCTCTACATCAGGGAGTCGTATACATAATACGACGAATATTGGTACAGTACGGGACAGATACAGGAGCCCGCAAATATTGTGGACTGCTGTTATGTACAATCCTGTGGAGCCTTTGTAGTCACAGATACGGAACAGATACGGGATAGCTCCAGGCGTGACACAAACAAACAAACAAACACCAAACGAGAGAGCTTGGAAGCTCAGGGCCCTACTCTATGCTATTTTGCCTTGATGACCTAGACAAAAAAAAGCATAGGGATGTTATAAATTCTTATAAGTTTCTACTTTTTGTTTTTAGACATAACCTGGGATTCGAACCCGCACTATCGCCCTGCATGCATCCCCCGATATACTTCACATACATACTAATTCTTCCAAGTTGCTTCACGTTATGATCTTGTATTTGAAAGCCCTATTTCAATATGCATTGTGGCCAGCCGTCTTTGATTGTACGGCACGGTACGGGATAGGTACGGGACAGGTACGGGACATGTACGGGACAGGTACGGGACAGGTACGGTCGAGGGTAATATGACACCGTCTACCGCCTTGATGACGGCAAAAAAAGAAAAGGGATGTTATAAATTTTTCAATTCTCCTATTTTTTTCAGGCATTACCTTAGATTCGAACCCGCACTATCGCCCTACATGCATTCCCCCCATACACTTCGCATTCATACTCATTCTTCCAAGTTGATTCACGTTATGATCTTGCGTTTGAAAGCCCTATTTGAATATTGCGGCCAGCTGTATGTGGCCAGCTGTGTTTGACGGTACGGTACGGTACGGGACAGATACAGGATAGCACCAGGCGTGACACAAACACACAAACACCAAATTAAAGCTGTGTGGACCCTGGCTAGCGCCAGACGTTACTGAAGTAACGTCTTCTGCATAGCTACGGGAATTAAAATGTTCTTTTGCCTAGCTTATCAGTTTTGTTATTTTCCACTGACGAGCGGAACGCAAAAATCTAGATTTTGGACATATTGTACACTTTACAACGTCGATACATTGTTTGGCCATGTCTGCATCAATAGTACTCTTTACTGCTTTCATACTTGAAGTATAATTGAAAAGGCCTATGCGCACATTCAGGCATTTGAGCTGTCAGACGACAAATCAACTGATATCACCCAGTGCAGCACGCACTTGAAGTGCGCACATGTACATTCTTAGAAACACTGAACCTGCCTTGCATAAACAACATCATAAGTATTTCAGTGGCTCTTTGCATTGAGTTGCGTGGCATTACGTTGCTTTAGCTCTGAACTTTACATTGCTATTCTGACTGTTGCCGGCCATCAGCCACAACAAAGCAGCTTTCGAGCACTGAATTCGATGATGAAGTAATATTAATTTTTGAAAGGATTGTCTAGGTGGCCATGAAGTCGAGACCCTAGGTCGGCGGAGCTCCCTAAACCCCACCACCATTGCCTCGAGTCAGATTGTGCGTGCTTTCCCTAGCAGCATCTAATGTTTGGCATGGATTTTGTAAAAACTAAATAAAAAATAAGACTCAGATGGAGAGCCAAGGATTAAATTTGAAAAGAAAGGACCAAAACGTTACATGTTATCTGTAGTTAGTGTCCAACACTAACGGCAGTTATAAGCAAAATGTTGTGTAGTCAGAAGGTGCAACAGCTAGCACAATACTGACTGACGAGCACAATAATGCCACTAGCCACGCCTATCAACTGTCAGACGCGCTCCCTGTCGCAGCTCCATCCGTCGTGAAGCGGTCGTTCCCGTACTGCTGTATCGGCGCATGGAACTCCCTTCCTGACAGGCTGCTGTCGCAGCGCCCACACAAAACACGTTTTCAGTCATTCAAGACAAAGGTCTACCGACACCTGAGAGACAGCAACTGGTACTGGGCAACAGATTGAATTCCCTATAATTTTTCGACCTCGTCGCTTGCCGGACCCGCGAATCCGCGTACCTGGCCTTGCTCAGAGTGCTCAGCTGTGTTTTGCATGCATGAAAAAAATTGTTATGATTCTTTTCTTTTCTCTGTTTATTCTTTTACCAGGTGTGGGCCATCCCCTGTATTATTTTTCTGTTTTTAGCTTGTTTTCTTTACACTTCTTTGTGTGAGTTTCGTATCAGATCTATTGAAAAAGTTCATAAGTTTTGGTTGATGGAATTGACATGTACATGGTACATCAGTCCAAACACTGATAATTTACAATCCCTTTTTATCTTGTTTTTATTTTCTAAACACCAACCGGTACTTTTACCCATTCTACTTCCCCATAGCTAGATCTAGCTTCGCTTTACATTTCTGGTACCAGAGCAGACGTTATGCCGCACTCGGCACGATCCTCACACCATTCATCGGTCAGGAACGTACATATCCGTCCGACGGTCTGCGTTGGATCAGTGTCAATACTCACTGCTGTGGAGCACGCTATTGCCGGGTGCAGGCAAGCATTCCTGCGAATGCTTGCCTGTGACTGACCTCCTTTACTTTCCGTCACATGTGCCCGCCTGCTCCTTTCGGGGCCCGATTAGTGTGGAATGGCGTTTTCCGCAGTTCACCAAACTTCTCTGCAATGCCTGGTTGACCCCATGTCCATGAGTCTTCCAGGGAGCTTCATCTCGTTTGCACTGAGCACCACATTTTATTATGTGAAATAATTCTAAAAAAGAGGGCACCATATAAGCGTACAAGTTATCCGTGTTGTCCAAAAATAGCGATTTTAAGCTGCAGGGTACTGTTGAGTCAAGAATGTGCAACAATTAGCACAAAACGGAGTGACGGTGATACGGACATTCAACAACCTGATGCTTAGCTGCATCACGTCTGGAATGCGCAAACCAACTGCCTTCCAACTTGGAAGGTTCTCACTTCTAAGTTATTAAATAATGTCCTACTCATGATCGTTAGTATTCGTTAGTGTTCGTTAGTGTTGGACAAAACTTATAACTTGAACACTTGCGGCCCTCT